TCGGGTTACATGTTACATGTCAACTAGAATAGCACAGTAATTGACAAACTTCTTTTTCTTATTAAAAATATATATATATATATAAGGTTTTGCCTTAATATGTTTATGTAAACACAATTATGACCAACGATACCTGTTTGAGGACAAAAAAGCAATGGCCTTGGATCTCATGCTTGTGGAAAATGTGAAAAAATGTCTTTGGTCTGGAAAATATCTAAGGAAGAATATGAAGAATATCATCTGTATGCTTGGCTGATTAAAATTTCCGCACATGTATATTCATTTTGATTGAATATTCATATCTCATATGATTATGTTTGTTTCACTTAAAATTCTTCATGATTTTGTTGGATGCTTTCCTAAAAATTCTCACAGAATTGAGAATGAGGTTTTCACTTTGTACATGTTGGATCTTGAATTAGTACCAATCTTAAAAAAAGACCTAATTGTTTCACATTATATTTTCGTTATGGAATATTTACATAATCCCCGTGATTTAGATTAAACGTTATTCCATGGTATTTGTATGAGATTCCTCATTTTTTTAAGCAAGTGTTTGAGAGGGTTTAATTGAATTGATCTATGAATTATGTTTCATTTTCCGTTTCCTTTATGTACTAAGGCACTTGTTTTTTGTTGATATTGAATAAGTGAACATATGATGTGGTCTTTATGATACTGTTAAACGAGTGTATGAATAATATGATACAATCATTTTATGGAAGAGCATATCAGTTCATTTGTATGCCCGTCTAAGAGAATAAACGAACAAATTTGGGCAGCAAGAGCTGCACTTGATTTGGGCAATCCACCAAGATCAGCTTTGATGGAGCAAAAGGGCACTCAAATTTATGTTGCACGGTGAAACTTCAAACTTTAAACAAACAAATCTTGTATTGAAGTAATGGCTCTTGCTTGGAATGAACAAACTTGATCAATGTCAGACCCATTCCCTCGAAAAATAAACAAACATCACAACACTAATTCGCACAGAAATAAGCAATTTCTCCAGCACAAAAAATGTACCATTGGTTACAACTTTGGTGAATCCAGAATCATAAACTAGACTTTAAAATTAATGCTGTCTCTGCTTAAGTGACCAAACAGTGGGAAAAAGCACTTATCTATAAATATGGTCTTTCTTGCTTCTAATATAAGTAATCAGTTTATGTAAACTTTAGATCTTCTTCTTCTTCTTCTTCTTCTTTTCCTGACGGTGGGGGGTTCCATAAGAACTTGCAATGTGGCAATAGGTTACTTTTTCTTTTTTCCTTCTTTAAAGTGTTAATATTAATTTCTAGCTAGAATAATCTTCCTATTTTACTTATTTTGTCAATGTGGATGCTCAAATTCTGCACATTCATGCAACCTTCTTCTCTAGTTGGCATGAGTTTTGCACAAATTCTATGAGGCTGCTTTACCATCCTGGTTTTGTCTCTTTAGCTTCAGTTGTAGATAAAGCAAAAGAAGGGTTGGAAAATAATAAAATTCAACCAACCTCAATTTTAGTAAAAGAGTAAAACATCAGAAGAGGAAAAACATATGCAGACATGTGATGAAAGTCAAATGAGGAAAAAGAAAAGGGAGAAATAATGATATATTACACAATAATCAATATTAGCAAGTCTTGATTCCAACCGAAAGTAAAGCTCTTATTTGTAGTTGCCAAAACCTAAACTGAATAGACAATGGAAATCTACCCTAGGAAACAAATCCCAAGTAAAATAGGAAAAGAAAATTTCTTGAATAGGTAAAGAAGTTATTTTCAACCTTTTCTCTTTGAAACTGAGAGATCCTGCGACTTGTTATCTGTTTTATGTATATATTGATCATCAATCCAATACCCTTAATACTACAATTTAACATATTTCATTAGAGTCATATCAAGAAATTTTCTTGTTTGGTTTCTTAAAATGACTTAATAACTCCAGTAATACGTACTGATGTCTCTTTATCTCCTCATACTCCTACACACATATGTTTGATAACATACTTTTGCTCTGATGGAGAGTTATTTGCTTTACTTGATAGGCAGCCTATGAAGTTATTTAAAGAGGAATTTGCTAGGTACTTTCATCTGTTACCTCTGAAGGTATCTGATTATTTCTTGTTGAACAACCTGAAACTCTGCTAATGATATACTTTCAATACAACGTAAAGCAAGTTATTGAAGTATGTTGCTTTCAGATGACAGACCTACAGAAAATTCAATTACTTTATATTTATTCTTGCTAGAGTTTGCTAGAGTTTGAGACTGGCTGTTTAATATTGTTTTCCTTTTTCCTTTCTTTTATTTTTCTTTATGTCTGAGCTTATTATCCAGATATCATACCCTTCTTATGTTGTACGATCTTAATAAATATCTAACAATTAGTACTCCTCCAGGTTTTATGCTGTAGAGGTTGTCATTGGCTTGGAATATGTTCATTGTTTAGGTATTTTGAGCTGCTGAGAACTGTATCTGCTTTTTGTTCAAATAAATTCATTGTGTTATGTTTCCTGTATCATAACTTAGAAAAATATCAAGTTATTATGTGAGTTCATCACTGAACAGTAATCATCCTTGTTTGAAGTATTAGGAAAATGTTAGAGTCCATATTTTCATTGGATTTGAACAAAAATATTTTGCATCATTGTAAAAAGGAAGTGAGAGACATGTTCTCCAATGGCTTTAAGATAAAGAAAATTAGTTGGCTGCAATCCAATAATTTTTTATAACTAATTCATGTCATTAATCTTGTGCTTTTTTCTATTTTTGTTGGTGACGACCCTGCAGTAATAATTTATTGGGACTTGAAGCCTGAAAATATTTTACTCCAGAAAGATGGGCATATAGTATTAAGTGACTTTGATTTATCATTCATGACATCCTGCAAACCCCGAGTATGTTACCACGTTCCTGTAATTGTTTATATTTTCATTAGGATATTCACTTGTCTGTTTCCTGAGTTATGTTCCCTGAGCATGGATAATATGAGTTAGCTCAATTTATCAACTGTCTGGTGGAGGGTGTTCAACTGCTCTTTTCTTGTCACTGGTATGCATGAAAAAGATGATTTTCCTTTCAGGAAGGCTGTTCAATAGCAAGAAGGACACTTCCTTTTAGTTATACCGATATAAATTGCATGATTTGTAGGGCACTAGCTATATTCTAGCTTTGAGGTTTCTTATAGATGTACAAAGTCTATGAAATAAATCCTGCCCATGCCAGGGTTGGAAGGTTTATGTTTGCTGGATTAAAGTGTGTAAAAAATAACTATAGAATTAAGAAAATTGTGTAATCTTTATGTAGTCAATTCTTTCTCCGGTGTTGCAAGGTTATTCAAAGGATTCCTTGTAATCTCTTGTCACCACAGAATGTGCTTTTGTCATGTCTTCACACAGAATTTGCAAACAATCACATCTTTTTGGAATTTCCTATCTAGTTTGATACTTATCAAATGCTTTGAATTCATTTTATATCTGGTATTCATGTATCTTTTTGTATGAGATGCTCTACAGCCATACACCTTTCAGAGGTAAAAATAGACAGAAGACATTTGCCAACATTTTGCACAAAGACCTCACTTTCCCAAGTAGCATTCCGGTAAAAATCTGCCGCCTTTTAAGTCGGTTAAAATTATTCTCTAGTTATTCTGGTGAGTTAGTGGATATTGTATACATGCTCAGGATCTTGAGGTTTGGTCAAAATATGGATAATCTCTTGAACTTAAATTGATGAATAGTTAACAATGGAGAACATTTAACAAGTGAGTATTAATCGAAAACTTCTTTTGGAAAGGTAGCGGATACCTTCCTGAGAATATCATGGCTACTAAATATATTGGGTCTAAATTTTCACTGCCTTTGATGGAAATGTGTACCAACTATAAGTTTTAACTGGCTAGGAAAACCCTAATCGAAGATGTCAACATGAATTTAGAAGTGATTGATGATGATGAACGGGGCTTCTCTTCATTGAACTTGCAAAATTAGTATTCGATTCGGGTATAACATTTCGGTTTCATGAGATGAGCAGGCAACTGATAATAATTTGCTTGATGTTTCATTCCAGGTAAGTCTTGCAGGTAGGCAGCTATTTAATTTGTTGTTAAACAGAGATCTCGCAGATCATTTAGGATCAAATAGTGGTGCCAATGAAATTAAACAACATCCTTTCTTCCATGAAATCAGTTGGACTCTGATTCGCACCATGGTAGGAGAGGACTACATGCATTTTACCATATTGAATTCTGAAACAGCAAATGATTTAATATCGAATGTTTCTCTATGCATATGCAGAGCCTGCCTCCACTAGATGCACCCTTTGAGTTAATTGAAAAAGATCTGAAAGCCAAAGATGTCAAGTGGGAAGATGATGGAGTACTTGTTAATCCTGTAGATTTGGACCTTTTCTAAAGGTTTGGATTAACAACCATTTCTAATGTTAAACATAAGACTTCAGATTGACTTTGGTCTGCACTCCCTTTATTGCTGATTCATGTTTTCTCTTATCATATGACCAGAAATGTATATCCAAAATATAGCAAAATCAACGATTCACTAACAAAATATACTATTGCTTTGCGAATTACAGCAAGAAATACATGTAAATGTTGCAGTCGTATAGTGTCTTTACATAGAAAGGCTTGGATCAACTGTGTAGATGCATCAGCCAAATTTATCACACTGTTATATGCAGATCTGATGAGCAACCAAGTATACAATTCTTGCGAGATCCTTACCATGCAATTCAGTTTTTGACATGGAAATTTGAGATGAAATTGAATACAGATAGCACTTCAAAGTCGACCAAAACATGCACAACCACAATTATGTTACCTTACATGGTGGCCTGTGTGATTATATTACTTATTGAACCAGCCTGTTCTTTTGCAGTTTCCACGAATGAGTCCTACAACATAAAAAAAAAAAATGATACACTGAAAAATTAAAAAAATTAAAAAATATATGAAAAACTGACAACCAAACCCCACTGTCACCAAGAAAAAGAAATTTTACCTAAGCAGCTATTAGACGTGCAACTGTTTTCTTGCCTGACTCTTAAAGTTCATCGGCAATCAAGAGTTCATCCAAAATATAACAGGCCTATAACATAAATGACTGTCAGCAATTAGCAAAGACACAGATTTTGGCATCCATGCCATATAAACTGATCTACGCTAGATAAGCAAGAGGGCATTAAATTAATATGGTATTTTGGGCAGTCACTTATTGCATCAATCACCATTTATGATATGAAAAAAACCCTATTAGAAAGGAAAATCCCAATTGCAAAACAAGCCCATTGCAACATACCTTGTGAAAGTTGAAGATCAAGTCCAGCTCACAGACCTGGAAGCAAAATTAGATTACCACAAACGTTAGTTTCTATACCAATCAAATGGAATTATACACTTTAATTCACTTAGTGATCTTATACAAAGTAAAGTCAACTTCACTCACACTTCCAAAGTATCTGTCAAGAATCTCAACATAATGATGAATTATTTCAAGGACCTCTAATTCATTGTCATCCTGATCAATGCACATGCAGAAGTATAGACTAGCATATCTGCAAAACATATTTATTGGAACCAACTCAGTTGATCATCTCTATGATGGTGAAACGTATTCATTGAGTCACAAATACTGTCATATTTGCATATACCTTTTATAAACAACTTTGTATCCTCTCCATTCCACGAAATTACAGAGCTTGGGTCCTCGTGAAAGAATGACTCCACTGAGCTCACGAATAACCTTCTCAGACAAAGCAGCAGTTCAAACAAATCATCAATGTAACCACAGCTGCTACAATAAGTTGAGAAAATGATACCACAACGATCATTTATCCAACACAAGGCAGGTCCTTTGAAAATAAAATTAATAATTAAGATCTAAAGAGAGAATATCTGAGCGACATGGATTTAAAACCATACCTTAGTTCGTTCCTTTTGTGAATAAGGAGAATACCATTTAGTCAACCGGACTTTTCCTTGTCGGCTAATAAGAAGCACAAATTGAATCTGAAACATATTGAAGATAAAAAATTATAGAACATCAGCAAAGTAAAACCATTAATCTTCATTTGGCATTGGCAACATAAAATGAACAAGATTTAACAAATCAGAGTTGTCGGACATAGCACAACCTAAATGATTATGGCATATCCAATCAATAACTTGTTCCTTCAATCCATGATTTATTTCCCTCAACATCCATTGCCATTTCCAGAAAATTTTGATATGGTTTTTGTTTGTAGTCAACTTAAGCCAAGTTGTGAGAAAATGACATAAAACAAATGCTTAGTATTGACAAGCTAGTTCGAGTTTAAATTTCACCATTCTGACATACAAAGACTCCATGCTAACTAGTTTTCTATCAAATGCTTCCATATCCCTCTAATACAATTATTCAAAATTTCGTCTTCCTAACTTTCTGTTTAAAAACAAGGTAGTTCAAGAATGAATAACCCACATGGGCAGGTCACAGAACTTCACAATAAATTGTTAAACTAATATAACTTTGTCGGCTGAAGACCAATTGAAATTCATAAAACTGTTATTCTACGCCATACACTTCAATGATCTCTGATTCAAGATCTTAGCTAGGTTAATATATAAATAAGTAATGTACTTGACAATAAATATCACTGAAATTAGCAAACTTGCATGTTCAGAGAGTAACGAATCCGTCACAATCCCAAACAGTTACTCAAACATTCATCTAATAATGCGATTATGAAGTCAGATCTAACGGTGACAATATATCACCTAAATATAAAAATCAGTTCAAGACCAATGCATCAGCTGAACCAAAACCCCCAAATCTAATGTAATATTTCAATAAATGAAGAACTCCAAAGAAGTTATTTAATAAAAATGAATAAACGTTGTAGATCTAAAGAAACGGAATTCGATTGATCAATCCTGCATTAAGCTAATGAAATCAACAAACAACGACAATACAAATTTCACATACCATGGTTTTCCGACTACATCGACAATTCAAATTATTTACCACATTCAAATATGCTTGTTTCTGAGATCCTTACTGTTTACAATAAGCTGACTTTACATCCTGCAAAAGGTTCATATGTTCTTGCTTTTACAAATGATTTTTGATAGCTTATAAGTATTTTCATTATTATAGGTCTTTCAACATTAATTAAATCTCTCATAACCATTTCTTCACTATTTATTTATCACAATGATTTGATATATTACTGAAGGCCAAAACCAAGCTATTCTTTGAGCAATTTCATTCCAAGCTTGTTACAAATGTATCCAATTCAAGAACCTCTAAGAGACTTAGTAAGAACATCTGCTAGCTAGTTGATAAGTTGCATAATTTGAGTGTTTTTAGGGTTATTTTGATGTTAGTTTAGTTAACTTCTCATTTGTTTCCTTTGTTTTGATGTTTGTTTTTGTTAAGTTTGAGATATGAATGGTTACCATTGATTTGGATAACTTTTGTGTTTTTTTTAAGCTTTGATTGAGTAGATTGGAGTATTGGAATGAAATTGGGACTTAAAGCTTGAAGAAGTTGAGATTACCTAACATTCTTGAAGGCCACGGCCATGCCTTTGATAGTTCACCATGGCCATGGTGGTGGAACAAAGAGAAAACAAAGAGACCAGGAAACACCACGGCCTAGGCTGTGGTGACTTAAATTTGGCCACGGCCAGGGTTGTGGCAGAAACTATTAGGGCGTTTTTATCAGTTTTTCTTGCCTTTTTTACTTAGGACTCTTTTGGGTATTTAATTGTAATTGAGATCAGTTGTCAGGGGACGAATTTTGTATATTTTTGAGAGGAGAAGACGCATTCTTGAGGCTTGAAAATTGAAGATCAGATTTAAGAGTTTGATTTTTATTTCTTTTCAAGTCTGAATATGTTTTCCTTCTTCTCTATGTATTTCTTTGTTCTTAAGATGGAGTAAATCTCTTTTGTTAGGGGAAGATGAAACCCTAATTATGTTTTGAACAATTTTTATTCTTAATACCAGATTTATGTTTATGAATTTGTGCAAGAGTTTAGGTTTAATGTTTTATGAATGTTGGATTGATTCAATTACCTTAATGATGTTTCGAAAAGAGAAGTTAGGGTTTATTGCTTAATTCATAGTCATAATTGTTTTATTGGAACAACATTGCACAACATATTAAAACTAGAAGTAATCTAATAGAGATTCTAGGATTAATTTGTGGTCCATCTAATTCATAACCGAATAAGGCGAATCAGTCGTAAGGGCTTGATGAATTTATGCTTCTTAATTTCAAAGTAACCGAATAGGGATCTGTATTAAGTTGAATATTATGCCTGAATAAGGATAATTGGCCTTAGAAGAATTCTACCAATTCATAGCACAAACGAGTATTAAGAGTAGTTGTCAAGCACAATTAAGGGGACATCTGTACCCTAACTTCATTAATACTGCAAAGTTCTTCACATTGTTTATTTGTTTAATTTAGTTATTTTTAATCCGTTACTTTTACACTCTAAGATTTCGTTTTCTCAAATAATATGTAGGTAGTTTTAAGTAATTACAAATATTAACTTTGATCTCTATAGGACAATACTCAAACTCATCACTTTATTATTTGAACACGACTAGTGCACTTGCTAAGGTTGATTTAGTCGCATCACTGGTCATTTGAGTTAACAAAACTGGTGACAATGCATCCGGATTCAATCTTCTATCGGATAAAATGACAATCAACCTCTATATGCTTTGTTCTTTCATGAAAGACTGGATTTGAGGCAATATGCAGAGCAGCTTGATTGTCACATCTTAGTTTCATTTGCTTCACTTCACTACACCCAAATTCTTGAAGAAGTTGTTTCAACCAGATGAGCTCACAAGTCGCAAGAGCCATAGCTTGATATTCTGCCTCTGCACTTGATCTAGCTACTACATCTTGCTTCTTATTCTTCCAAAATATTAGATTACCTCTAATCATGATACAGTATCCAGAAGTAGATCGTCTATCTAATGGAGACCTTGCCCAATCAGTAGCAGAATACCCAACAATTTGAGAATGACCCCTATTTTCATATAGCAAGCCTTGCCTTCGAGCTCCTTTGATATACTTAAGAATGCAAATTGTTGCATCCTAATGACCACTACATGGGGCCTGGAGAAATTGGCTAACCACACTAACTGCAAAAGAGATATCTGGTTTGGTGATCGTGAGATAATTCAGCTTACCAACCAATTTTCGATACCTTCCAAGGTCTTCTAATGGCTCCCCCTATCCAGGAATAAGTTTGACATTGAGATCCATCGAAGAATCTACAGGCTTAATATCTAACATACCTATCTTCTTAAGAATGTCCAATGCATACTTCCTTTGTGATATAGCAACACCAGCCTTAGACTGAGCTACCTCAATCCCTAGAAAATACTATAGCTTCCCCAAGTCCTTGGTTTGAAAGTGGTTAAACAGATGCTGCTTCAGTTGAGAAATCCCATCTTGGTCATTACCTGTTATGACAATGTCATCAACATAGATAGCCAAGTATATAAATTTACCATGATCATTACGGCGGAAAAATACTGAATGATATGCTGTACTTCATGATATCCCAAACTGTTGAATCATAGAACTGAACCATTCAAACCATGATGTAGGTGACTGGTTGAGACCATATAAAGACCGGCGTAGATGACACACCAATCCTAACTCCCCCTGAGCGACAAACCCTGACGGTTGCTCCTTATACATTTTCTCGGCAAGTTTACCATGCAAGAAGACATTTTTAATATCCAACTAATGAAGAGGCCATTGATACATGGCCGCTAAAAAGATATGGAGGCGTACCGAAGTAATCTTAGCAACAGAAGAGAAGGTATCACTATAGTTGAGCCCATAGATCTGAGTGTACCCTTTTGCAACAAGGCGAGCCTTCAGCTGATCAACTTTGCCATCAAGACAATCTTAACAGTGTAAACCCAACGACACCCAACAACAGTCTTGCCTGGCAGTAAAGAAACCAACCCCCAAGTACCATTATGATCGAGAGCAGTCATCTCCTTAATCATGGTAGCTCTCCACCCTGGACGTGCCATTGCCTTGCTAACAGTGTTAGGTATAAGGATAGAAGACAGGTTTGAAATAAAGGCAGAATAAAATGGAGATAAACTATCATAACTAAGAAAATTATAAATAAGATGTGGGTTTTGAGAAGATCGAATACCTTTGTGAAGGGCAAGTGGAGGAGTTGCCTTGTCTATAGGAGACATGACCGGAGCAGGCAATGGAGGAATAGGAGACCCCTGTGGCTTCATCAACTTCCTCATCATATTCTTCATTTTTCCTTGATAGGGGTTTTCTCTTTCCTTGATTGTTCCACCTCTTCCAAGACTGTCCCACTTCTCAAGGTTATTGCGTTCATTTGCTCTCGTGGGTTAGTCACTGTGTTGCTCGGTAAAGACCCCTGTGGCTTCTCATTTAGCTTTTCAGCTAACTGCCCCATCTGTACCTCCAAGTTTCGAATGGACGCCCCTTGATTTCTGAAATTAGTGATCGTCTCATTCATAAAACATGTGGTTTCTTGCATAAACTTCCCAAACATGTACTCCAATTTTGTCACTCTTGGGTCTCCTTGTTGGTTGTTCACCCCTGTTTGGTTGTTTGGCAATGGCCTTTGATTCCATTGATTGTTTTCCTGATTTTGTTGGTTTTGATTGCCGCAAGACAGGTTAGGGTGATTCCTCCAACCAGGATTATATGTGTTGGAGTACGGATTGTTCGGTTGCCTTTGATTTCCAGCCAAGTAGTTAACCTGCTTCGATGATGACGATGCTGAGGTAAACGTGTTCCCTACTTGACAGTCATTGCTTATCACAAATCACAAGTTAGTTGAGGAGTTTGAATGGAATTTACCTGCATACTTCCCAATTGTTTCTGAAGTGCTGTCAGTTGGGCTGAAATGGCTGTATATGCATCAACTTCATGAAGACCCATAGATTTCTTCGGTTGCACCCTCTCATTAGGTCTTTGATAATTGTTGCTTGCCAAAACCTCAATCAACTCGTGAGCTTCTTTCGGAGTCTTATTCTGTAATGCTCCTTCTGAGGCTACATCCACCATAGTTTGCACATTCACCATTAATCCATTATAAAATGTTTGGACTTGCATCCAAACTGGCAACCCATGATGTGGACACATTCTCAGTAATTCTTTGTATCTCTCCCAAGCCTTATACAATGATTCTGACTCTTCTTGAATGAATGATGTGATGTCATTTCTCAACTTTGTTGACTTTGCTGGAGGAAAGAATTTGGTTAGGAACTTCTGTACTAAATCATTCCATGTGGTGATTATTCCTATTGGTAGTGCCAGTAACCATCCTTTAGCTTTATCCTTCAATGAAAATGGGAATAGTCTCAATCTGATTGCATCATCTGACACTCCGTTTGACTTGAACGTATCACAAATCTCCAAAAAATTTGCAATGTGTAGATTTGGATCTTCCTTCAAATCACCCCTAAACTGAACCGGCTGTTGGATCATCTCGATGATTGCCGGCTTTATCTCGAAGTTATTGGCTTGTACCGCTGGTCTAGTAATACATGACCCACTGCCTTCAACTATAGGAACTGAGAATTCCCTCAGTGTTCTATTCTCTGCCATCTCTACAACTATTTCTTCTGGTTCAACTGTAGCTTCTCTTTCTCTTCTTTCTCCATTTAGTCTTCGAGTGGTTCTTTCAATATCAGGATTAACAGGGACCACTGGTTGACGTCTTGCTCTTCACATAAACTACACAGAAAAATAGAAAGAGTGAGATCACACCAACCTAAAAGACTAACGAAATTTGAACAACAACAAATAAGAAAAAATAACACTCTAATCTAGCTAACACAAGAATATTTTAATGTTAACACAAAACTCAATCCCCGGCAACGGCGCCAAAAACTTGATGCGTTGTAACTACAACATGCATAAATAGCAAGTGCACTAGTCGCACAAAGTAATAAAGTGATGAGTGAGTATCATTCCCACGAGGATTGGTTGCTAAGCACTAAGTTTCCTACCATTTTCAAGTTGGAGCAATCGAGTT